TCGGCATTCTCGAACCACTGTAGAAAACCCCGGAGGTTTGCGAACCCCCAACCGACGCCACCCCCCGGCAGCATGAACGCCTTCATCGTGCTCTGGGGCAGACCCTCTACGGAGCACTGGCGCTTGCACTCCCAGCTAATCTTCTCGATGTCCGCAACGCTATTCGACAGCCGCGTGAACTGGATGAAATGTTTGGAGGGCGGGGCCAGCGCGGTCTTCCTTAAGGCGTTCGCGGCAACGTCGATGCAGAACGCGGCGTACCTGACCATTTCGGTGATGTTCGTCACTGGTGCCGTCTTGTTGATATCGGACGCAGGGAAAACTCGCCATCTTCCTCGAACTGGCCCGTGGCGAATTGGCCTGCGCGCGTCGGGATCTGCCGAAGGCGAGCTACCCAATGGTTGTTGACTTCCGTGAGTTTGTCCGCAGATGCTGCCATCGCATCCGGGAGCTTCAGCAGCTTGTCATTGTTATCCTCGGCCCCCTTCTCATCGTAACTCTCGTCGTCGACCTCTGAGCTGCCAGCTTTGAGCAAGACGCCGAGATAATTATTCAACGTGCCGAAGTGAACGCCGATGCCATCGTAGAAGCAATGCAGATGCATGCACAGCGCCGCGCCGATGATGAATTTATAGGCCGCGACGTCAAAGCAAGCAGCGAGGCAATTCTGATGCATCGCAGCCGTCGACCACTTCGCGAAGCAGTGCGTCGCGCCGCTCATAAACTTCTCGATGACCATGTAAGTGTCCTCCAAGGGGGTGAAATCACACGCGTCGGTGATCGTCTTGGCCACGTCGCCCCTCCACTTGTCAACGTCGCCGAACGCGCTCTCCAACGCGTCCTCGAGCTTGGAAATGGCGCGCGAGAAGAAATCCGAAAAGCATCATATGCTACTGCCTGCGCAATATGTACTCTCGGTGTTTCCAGCACGTCTTGGGACACCGTGTAGGACTTCAGGGCCCTCGCCAGCACTGCGGTTGGATTGGCAACCCCCATGGCGCGATCCAACACAATATTCCTCGCTGCCCGCGCTCGGGACGAAAGCGGGCGGCACAACTCCGCCGAATTGACGCACTTCGAGATGACAACGATAAGCTCAAACACATCGGTGAAGTCGGAATGGGCGTCGCCGACGCTCTCGGTCTCCACGCAGATGTCGGCCCACGACCTGCATGCGCGAATGATCTCACCCACGAAGCCCCCGCGCTTCACTGGCACTGTCAGCGCGCCCTTCGGCAGCTCGAACACGAAACCCTCCATCGCTGCCGCGACCGCGTGCTCCAAGTGGGCGGCGGCGGTAGCACCAAGAAGCACGGTTGCATGGATGTCGGGGTTGCCCTTCTTGACCTCCGTCGGCCGCTTGTGCTTGACTCGCCCCCTCTCTGCAGCCACTGCGGGCTCGCCGTCAACAACCTCATGATTCTCCTCGCCCCCCGAGACAACGTGAACCGCGTCGCCGCCTTCGTCAACGCGCGGAACCAACTCGGTAGCGCTGGCGCGCGCGATGTCGAAGGGCTCGGTGTCGATGCGCCTGATCGGACCTGAGACTACGCCATCAGACTAAGGCCACATTGAAACACCGACGGGATGGTCTGAGATATCGGAACCTCGGCCGTCGCCAGGTAGTCGAGGAGCACGGAGAAGCGTGGGCGCGCGTCGATCACTAAGGCTTCGTTCTGTGATTTCAGCCACGCCTTGGTCCTCCAAAGATTGACGATGGCGTTGATCCCGGGCTGGAGCGGCAGGTATGCAACTTGCACTTCGCACGCGGCCTTGCCAAGGACCTTCTCTGAAAACGCGTCGAAGCGCCTGCCGACACTAGCAGCCGTTCCAAGCTTGAAGTTGTTGAACCACGACTCTCGGCGCAGGTCCTCCACGTAGTTGCTGGTGGTCTTTCGGATGCGCCCGATGGCGACCATCGCGGGACCCGACGGCAAGACGGCCTCGAGAGACAGATCCCTTATCGGGGCGCCCAAAGCATCGATGTCCTTGGCCTGAGCCGCTGCCCCAGCCTCGGCATCGGCATCGCCCTCCCCAGACTGGTCTCGATCGACTGGTTTTGCCATATGGGCCAGCTTCGGGGCATCCGCTCCAACGTCGGCCAGCAGCTCGATCATGCGCACGCGCTGGTTGCCCGCTTGCCCCCTGCTCAACTCGGCCTTCTCCTCAGCGCCGCCGCGGTCAGCATTGGCAGCGACATCGACGGCCACCGCCGACTCGAGCTTCGGCGCGCCATCGCAGTCTGATCCCGAGCTGCCAGCTGCGTCTGCCGAAGGAAGCACGAGGTCGTCTGCTGGGTCAGACTTGACGTTGCCTGTGGGCGCCGCAAAAGCGCCCTCCTCAATGATGACCTCGCAGTCGCGATCGGAGTCGCACTGCAAAGAGGGCGCTGGATTGCCGTCGAGACATTCAGCCTTCACGCGGAGCATCGCGGCGGCGATCTCCCAGCGAGCTGAGCTGGCGGCTGGCTCGTCGGGGTGGCCAGCCCAAAGCATGTTAGAGCCAAACTGGCTCTGGCGAAGTGCGCGAGGAAGGCTCGCATTCGGGCCCCATCGCTGTCTTCTTGAAGCTCTGGGGCACCCTCTGGGCCCTCCCATGAGGCCCAGCAGGTCCCCCAACAAGGCCCCGCAGAGGGGCCCGCGAATCCAGGTGCCGAGCTCGGCGCACGCGCGGTCCTCGAGTCGCCCGGAAACCTAGAAAAAGTACGCCCATCCCATATCCGATGCCATCAAGGATGCCCGAGGCTACCTGGGCCTTCCGAGAATCTTCGGGGAGTTGCTAAGAGCTTGGAGCATCATGTGCCAGGTGGTGGCGATATCAAGCGCATGGGGGCGATGTCAAGGCCTCGTGCAAGATGCACCAGAGCATCCAACTGAACAATCCCTCGCACACGTTTGTTTAACACGCGATGCGTTGGGCGTCGTTGTCTGGAGCGCCAAGACATTACACTTGCACGAGAACTTATGTTGGCGAAGACCAAACCATATGCAGCTGTGAGCACCGCGTTGCGGGAACCGCTCTCGGCGGAACCCCCCATGGGGCCACGATCCTCGTGAGGGGTGCGCCGAAATGGGCAGGGCAGCGCATGCAAACCCTGCCGCTGGGGCCTTCGGTGGAGCTTCCCTATGGGGGCCACGATCCCCGAGAGGGGCGCGCCGAACTGGGCGGGGGGGCGCGTGCAAACCAGGCCGCTGGGGCCTTTGGTGGCGCCCCCCATGGGACCACGATCCTGGGGGGGGGGCGTGCAGAAATCAGCGGGGGGGCGCGTGCAAACCCTGCCGCCGGGGCCTTCGGTGGGGCCCCCTCGTTCTGGCTGGAGCTCTCCCTCGCTCTATACTCCGTGTCGGCGAGGTTCGTCCCAGCTCGAACTCTGTCAACTCTGCCGAAACCTCTATGGCTCCTCTGCCCCGCTGCTGCTGCTGCGGGGGAGGGAAGCCGACTTATTTGCTCGAGCCCAAGGGCCGGCGCTGCATACACGCATGTTAGTTACTTGCAACATCCTAGACTCCCAGGGCAAGTCCTCCAGGAATCTTCAGAAATCACGCTCACATTATTTTCTCTAACTAAGCGTGACACGCAGCAGCGCGCGCCGGGCCTAGCACCCAATTCAACAGCCAATAAAAGCAGGCGTGGCGTCAAACAGCGCAACACCGTGCTGATCGCCAAAATGGCGTTCTCGTCGCACACGGCGTAGTGGTCCCTCACGTATCCGTCGAGCTCGCATCCTTGCTCGACTCACTGGCCTCCATCCTCTCGTACATGTCACGGAGACGGATGGCCTTCATCTCGGCTTTGATATCATTCTCCTTGCTGGTCCGCAAGGTCTTCTCGATCTCGCGGTACTCCTTCTCTCGCTTCCACCGCGTCGTGTCCGTGTCCACTAGCAGCATGCCACACTGCCGGCACCGGAGCTTTTCCTTGTACTGGTTACTTCCCTGCGTAGTCGTCACGTTGTGCTCGCAGTCGCCTATGCGTTCTCGGGCCATCTGCTTCCCCTTGAGCTTGCCCTTGGCCTTGCTCGTGGACTCGTGCGTCTCGAACTCGCTGCCCTTGGCTCCGCGCGGCACGGAGGCGCAGGTCTTCTTCCCTCGACGACACTCGTCGCAGTTCTTGACCACCAACTCATACGCCTCGAGAACACCTTCCTCGATCACGTCGCCGAACTCGTCCGCGATCTTCTCATATGATGAGTGTCCGGTTCTCTCGTGTAGCGCGCCAGCCTTCAGCATCTCTTTCTTCGTCGGGGTCGTAGAATCCTTGCGGTGGTGCGGTACCTTCTGCCAGGTCCCTGTCTCCTCGTCAACATCGTCTCCGTCATCCAGTACAGCAGGCAGGTCGTCGGCACGCGCCGAGGTAGAGGCCCGGTGCGGCTTCTTGCGTGTCCTCGGTCCGCACTCGCACTGGTCCAACGTCATCCGACACAACGCACACACCGTCACCGTTGCCGCTGCAGCGGCGCCTGACTTGATCTCCTCGGACTCGGCACCCGCAGCGTCCATCATGTAGATCTCCGCAGCGTCGGTGCTATTCTCCTTCACGTTTCCGTCTGAAACGACGTGCGCACCAAGCTCCTCGGTGACACCTGGTTCCTCCTTGGGGTCGTCATCGGTTGTCACCTTCGGCTTCTTGATGGTGTGCTTCTCCGTGAAGTCCTTCTCGTAGCGCTCGAGGGCCGCCTTGGTCGGTGCGTAGATCGTCAGCAGTTTCCGCACCTGGGTCGGGATCCTCCGACGCTTTGACACCTGGTCTAATCCAGACCAGTCAACCATGTCCTCGAGCTTCTCTTAGTAGACGTCGTCCTCGCGCTGTCCAAGCATCATCCGCCAACGGAGGCATGGCTTCGGAGAGGGCTGATCCACACGCGCATTGTACCTCACATCCGCAATGCACTCCTCGAAGTAGGTGTAGACCTCGTGAACGAAGAGCTGGTCAGCGGGCCGCTGCCTCTTGGGATACTTCGAGCGGTATTATTCACCCCTGCGTCCCTTGAGCTCCATCCTCTACTTGGCGATGACCTGGTCCGCCATGAGATCCTCCGTCAGCCGGTACTCGCCGGTCTGGAGCACATACCTCATGCAGTCGCCAGCGCGGACGTCGTGCTTGGTTAGGCAGTCGGCGAGCATCTGCTTCGTGCACACCCACTTGCTCACCACGTTGTTGAACTCCAGGTCGTTCCTGAGCGGTTCGATATCGATCAGCAGCCGCTTCTCGGAGGGCACCGGCCCTCGCTTCTGGAGCAGGTCGTACAGTGACTTACAATCCGTGACATCCACCATCTTGATCGCCTTCACATCGTCCATGTGGGTCCGGTAGCCGAGTCCATAGTGCAGCTCCACCTGGTGCTGCCTCAGCATGTCGCCACTCTCGGCCGCCTCCAGCGCCGCCATCGTCTCGGCCGCCAGGGTACTGCGCACCACCCGCTTGACACGGTGCGACCGCCACAACATGGGAGTGACCTTGGCAGGCATCCCGCGGAGGAACTGATCGTCCTTGTTGTCTGCTAGCAGGATGACCTGGCCCGCCTGACTCGCGGTCTTCGTCTTGCCCACGTTGCCGTGGCTCGAATCTCCAACCGCCACCACGATCGCGTCGTCTATGTTGATATTCTGGGAAGTGATGTCCACGTGGTCCGTCTTGGCATCGCTCACCAGCCTGTTGAAGTCCAGCAAATCCTGAACCTTCAGGTCGCTGTCGTGGGCCCTCGCTTGACTCTCCACCAGTCGGAATACCAAGTCCATACAGGTAGATCGCATCAGCCACTGGATCTGGCCGTTGCCGCTGTGGAGCATCGCCCTCTCCTCGGGTGTAGCCTGCGCTTCCATGTCCTTGCGACGCTCGTTGGAGATCGGAATATTCTCGATGCTCTCGGTGTACTCCCTCTGGCTGCAGGTGATGGTGCCATCATCTCTCTGCTTGGGGAATCTCCTGCAGTGATGGAAACCGGTCTTCGCCGTCTGCCACTTGCCGTAGCAGTGCATCTTCCTCAGCTTGGTCACCTGGTTAGCGAAGAACTCGGGCGAACCCGCTACCAAGTCGTCGTCCACGTGCGTCCCGATCAGGCCGATCAGCTTCTCATTCTCGTCGTGGAAGATGAAGAGAGCCGGGCACAACTTCGATCTCGACGCTGCTCGAAGAGACAGCATGGTGTCGCGATGCTCCTCGTACCACAACAAAGGTGCATCATTCAGCCCGTAGATCCCCTTGTTCGCTCTCAGAACCGTACCTTCTGGAACGGCTGGCCAGCCCAACTCCGGCACAGCTGGCAGGCCACCCTTCGGCGCGCGACAGTATACGCGTCGAGAGCTGTCGAGGTACTTCCCGTTGAGAAATGCCGAGTGGACGTCACCCTGTTCCAGCCTCCAGCCCAACTGGCTAGCGGCCTCCTGCAGGATCACCGCCGTGGCCGTGTCCGTCAGAGCGTTGGTCTGCAACTCGCCAGCAAGCAGCTGCTTGTCCTTGTATCCTGGAACGATGTTCAAGGACTTCGCCTTGAGCGGGTGCTGCTCGTACGACAGGTTGCACCTCGTCGCCTCGTTCTTGTCCGTGCGAACGCGCCTCATGGGCAGGATCGCCGTCTTGTCCACCCCCGCGAGCTCCTCCTCGGTCATCCAGTCCACTGCGTCGTACTCGACCCACTTGCGCCACTCCTCCAGGTCGCTCGCGTCGAAAGCCGCCTTCCACTCCTGGGGAGTGCTGCGGATCTCCCGACCCTTCTTGGGAGTGACCTGCTTCTTCGTCGCCTCGGTCCTCCGTGACAGAAACGCGCCCCTCTGGCGATTCTTGACCTTGACGAAAAGTGCCTCCTGATCCATGGGGTCGTCTGATACCTTCGGCAGTCGCATGGAGCTGCCCTTGAGAGCCTCGCGTCGTAGTCGTAGGCGTTCGCGATCTGCCTCCTGGTCGTCGCTTGTAGCTGAGTCGTGGTGCAGGTTCTGGTTGCTCAGCTCGCTCTGGTTGCTGTTGATGCGGAATACCTGGCGCAGCCACCGCGTCCAGGTCCACGGAGTGCCCCTGCCCAGCTGCTGCGGCAGGTGGGTCTGTAGCTTGCTCTGGAGGAGACGGTCCTCCTCCCGGTAGTGGTGGTACTTCAGGTAGGTCTCCAGGTGCAGGTACGTTCTCCTCCTCACGCTCCTTCCTCGGTGTCGCCTCGGCCACTGGCCGTGACGGTGGTGGAGCCGGCTCGGCACGCGGCGCCTTAGCTGTTGGTGCGTCGATCACGCCGTCCTCGTGGTCCGAGTCCTTCTCGCCCCTCTCGCGGCGCACGCCCGTCTTGTCGCTCCCATCTGGCCCAGGTCCACGCTCATCGATGAACCCCTTCTGTAGCGTAGGTCCACCACGCCAGTGAGAGAGCTGCCTGACCAAGTCCTCGTTCTCCACCATCTCCGCCTCGCTGCGGGAGGCGTGTCACACCTGCTCCGGCGTCGCGAGCACCGGCACCCCGCGGTAGCTGAGGTGCAGCCTCGCGTGGCCTTCGGTCGCCAACACGATCGCTGGCCCACGCCGACCGTGCTCGCCCTGGAGCCTCTTCGACTCCACGTGCTTCACCTCGCGCCAGTAGAACACCAGCTGGCCCGGCATGAATGGTCCACGCGGTGGGCGAACTCGGCCAACCATGGCCCTCCTGACGGCGTCATCGCTGTCCAGCTCGAAGAACGCCCGGTTCGCCGCCGCACGTATCTGCTCTGCTCTCCTCGGGCCCTCCTCGAAGAGAGCCGCGCTCTGTGATGCCAGCTGCCTCCGGTCGCCCTCCGTCGCCTCGATCAGCGAGGCCGGGGTGCCAGGCGACCTGCCCAGCACGTATTGGTAGGGGGTGAAGCCGTTCCGCCGAATGTGGTTGTTGCACGTGCTCGCTATCACCGATGTCCACACATGCGGATCGTCGTCCGTAGTGAGCTGCACGTCGCGGTTCAGGCGCTGGAAGTGGTCCTTGAAGAAGTCGATCGCGCACCCCGCTCGACCCTTGAGCTGGGGCGCCTCTGCTGGGACCGGCCTCATCAGGATGGTATACTTCTCTCCGATCTCTGCGAACCGCTTCGCGATGTGACCCTTGGCCGCGTCGTAGTACAGCACCTTGGGTGGTCCAGCCCGCGATAGCCAGCCTTGCGAAAAGCATCGCAGGCTCTCTTCACCTGTGATGGACCTCACTGCAGTAGTAGGGATGATCACCCCGAAGCCCGAAGCGTCGTCCAGCATCACCATGACCATCAGTCGGGTCCCGTCTGCTAGAATCACCTCGGCTTCGTCTAGGAACACGTTCTCATTGAATTCCGTCGAGATCTTCAGGTTGGAGCTTCTCACCGCAGTCGGCCTGCCGAGCTCCTTGCACACGCCGCAGTCCAGCTTGTCAACCGCATCCAGCACTTCCCGCGACGCTCCGCAGGACTTCAGCCGACGCTTCAGTGCGTGAGCAGAGGGGTGGCTCATGTTGAGGTGGAGCGTCTTGAGAGCGCCCCACTGGGCCGTGGTGATGTCCGAAGGCTTATCCCCGAAACCCTCACCCTCATGTTGTAGGTCTCGATGTGCCGTGTCAGCTTCGCGATCATCTGGAGCGAAGGTCTGCGCCTTCAGCTCCCGTAGATGTGCACCGTCGCAGGGAAGAACGTCTGCACCTTCGGCTCCTTCACGTAAACTGCGATCACCGTGTCGGTGGGGAACCGCTTGACCAGCTTGATCGTCCCGAAGCCCAGGTCGCCCGCGTAGGCGTCGCTGTAGTCCGCCAGTGCGCCCTCGCTGGAGTACATCGTATCGCGCAGAGTCGCCGCGCTGCCCCGCGAGGGGGCGGAACCTCCTCGCCACCCGTCAACACGCGTACGTCGATCAGATCTTTCCTTAGCTTGAACGCCGTGGCCACTGCATTCACGATCTGCTTGCTCGGGGTCCTCGCCGCGCCGTCACCGATGCCCATCTCCTCCGGGCTTGTCCGTCGCGCCAGCTCGCGCGTGCCGGCGCCCACCAGAGCCTTGCCCAGGTCGTCCGGCCAGGCGCCCGCTTGTGCCAGTGCCGTACTCCGCCCGACCATGTCGGCGCGCTGGCGGCCCCCGTCGCACCTGCGCTCGAGCCACCCAGAGAAGCACGAGCCGTTGAGCACCATCATGCACGTCGGCTTGCGAATCGGGTCGCCGTAGTTGTCCACGAGCCCGTACATGCACTGGTGTAGCGTGACCGTCTCGTAGAGTGGCGGCTGGTTCCCGTGCCAGCTCAGCAGGTCCACGATCGAGGCTTCACGCCACGCCCGGCTGGTGAGGGGTTCTCGCCGATGCCGATCCGTCCTCCCTGAGCCTGAATCTTGAGCACCCCCGCCGAAAAGTCGATCGGCGGCCGAAGCTCCTGGATGAGGTCGTCCACCCTGTCGCCCATGCCCCGGGCACGCTGTAACTCCTGCATGTTCGTGCGAGCGGCGCACGGGAATGCGACCGAAACCACCCAGGGCTTGAAGGTCCTAATCAAAAACAGGAAATCGGATCGCGTCCGAGGGTCGTTAAAGTTCACGCCAACTGATAGGTCCGAGGGGGTCGCATTCGCGTGACCACCCATCGAAGCTACATGAGTAAAGCGAGCCTCCTTCGCGAACAACTCCCAGAGAAACGTCTCGTTGTTGTCCCGCAATGCATCGAATATAACCGCATACTCCTTCATGAGCTTGTCGATCCGCTTGAGCGTAAACTTCTTGAAGATCCCCTTGTTCCCATTTTTCGTTGCATCCTGGACCCCCCGATCGGCGTCGTCCTGGACCCTGAAGTCTGGCTTGGACACCTGCAGCGCCCCCGCGACCAGGAAAACCTCCAGCTCGACTTTCTCGACGTTGATGCGGAACTTCTCGAAGAGGGGCTCCGCCTCGTACGACTCCAAGTCTCAGTCGAAGACGTCGATGCCCGCGTGGCCGCCGGGAAGCTTCATGAGCTCCTTGTCGTGCACCCCGAGCTCCTGGAAGTCGGCCCACTGGCCGTCATCGCGCAGGCACAGGTTCGTCTTCCAGTCCGCCAGGTTCTTCTTGCTCGTCAGGCCGACCATGTCGCCTGGGATCTCGAAATACTCTTGCAGGACATGCTTCTTGCCAATACCTATCGGGATGATCCACTTCTGCTTCGCCTCACGTCGCGCGCCGCCAAGTCCCTTGAACTTCTGGCTCGCCTCGACGATGATGGGCCTCAGACCATACTTCTCGAGCTCCGCGGCGATCTTATCCAGCCAGCCGCGCCCTGCCACCGCCACGGAGGCGCCGCTGTCCACCAGGGTGGCTGGCACGATCGTGCTCGAGATCATCGCGTCCACTTCTGGTACTTCAGGTAGGATCGGGTCGCTCTCCACTGTGACCATCATGATGTCGTGCTCGGCTGGCTCCTGGAACTTCTCCGTCGCAGGCCCCGGGTCCTGGGCGTCCTTTCGGTGGAACATGTCCGGCGTGACGCGCGCCAGTGTGGGCGTGATTGAGCCTTCGAAGTCTTGCCGCGGCCCTTGAAGCCCTTGCCTGCCGGCCGCGGAGGCCGCGGCGTCGGGCAGTCCGGTGCAGCGTGGTCCATTATTCCGCAGTTGGCGCACCTCTTGTCTTTGGACTTACCTTTGCCGCCGTCCTTGCCCTTGCCGCCTTTGCTTCCTTTCCCGGCTGCCTTGCCACCGGCCGCCGCGCTCTCGCCCACTACTCCATCGATTCGTCCCTTGAAGAAACCTCGAGCCGCCCGGATCTTGTTCATCTTCAGCCTACTCTCGCGCAGCGTGACGAAGGCCTGCTGGCGCTCGTCGTCCTCGCTCGCGAGGTAGACGTCGGTGTCGTCCTCGATGTAGAACATGTCGCTGCTGTCCCAGTTGTCGTCGCCGTCATCCGCTAACGCGTAGACACCGTGCTCTTCGTCCCACTCGTACCAGTAGCCGTCGTCGTCCTGGACCCAGTACCCGTCGCACTCGACGTTCGGGTCCTCGTCCTCCGGGTCGCGCTCGCCGACGTTGTAGTTTGCCCATCGCCAGCTCGGCCGCGCTCCCTGTCGATCCCGGTGCCGACCTCCGCCTCGCGGGAAGAGGTTCTTCAGCGTCGTGCTAATCTTCTGGAAGTTGAAGGTCTCATCTGCTCGTGCTATCACTAGGTTGCGCTCGTCCTTGTCGAGTCCACTTCTCTTCAGCGCGTGGTACCCTAGCTCGTTCGCACTGATCTTCGTGTCAGGGTCCACTTCCTCGAGGTTGCGCTTCGCCACCTCCATCGCTGCGCAAAACGCCGCCATCGGCTCTTCGCCTTTCTTCTCGAAGTGAGTCTGGTCGAAGAAGGCGTCGAACGCCTTCGGCAGCTCCCTGAAACTGCTCTTGGCGAAGCGCTGCTCCTCGAGGAATCGTAGTAGTATCTGGGCGCCGCCCTCCGTCGAGTAGTCCTTGGGATTCGCCTGCTCGATCAGCACGCTTATGGAGTTGTCTGCGCCCAGCAAGTTCCTATACAGTTTCGGACCGAGCGCCTGCTTCGACTCCTTACTCTCGCAACTCAGCTCCGCCGCCTGAACTGCCCTCTTGTATCTGGTGAAGTCCTTCAACGTCTCGCCCTTCAGCACCGGCATCTTCGGCTCGACCGCGCTGTTATACTCGGCCATGTCGTACGTAGTCTCCGTGTTCGTACTCTCTGGGATGGCTAATCCCGATGTCCTCTATGTCTGGAGTAGTGGGGCCAACCACTCGCTCCGCTACCAGCCTCGTTCTGGCTGGAGCTCTCCCTCGCTCGATACTCCGTGTCGGCGAGGTTCGTCCAAGCTCGAACTCCGTCAACTCTGCCGAAACCTCTATGGTTCCTCTGCCCCGCTGCTGCTGCTGCTGCGGGGGAGGGAAGCCGACTTATTTGCTCGAGCCCAAGCGCTGGCGCTGCATACACGCATGCTAGTTACTTGCAACATCCTAGACTCCCAGGGCAAAACCTCCAGGAATCTTCAGAAATCACAAGCCGAAACAGGGCCACGGTCCTCGGGAGGGGCGCGCAGAAATCAGCGGGGGCCTTCGCCGCGATCCCCGTGATGGGCGTGCCGAAATCGGCCGCTGGATGGCTAAAGGTACCCAGCCGGCACGACGAGATACCCAGGCGGCGGCTGCTGCATGGCTAGGGGTACCCAGCCGGCACGGCGAAATACCCATCTGGCGGCCGCTGGATGGGTATCTGGCTAGGGAGTGTGCGCGCCAGAGGGGATACCCAGCCGGCGGCGGGAGTATAGTATCTTACGGCCATTGGCTGGAAGCTCCCAAAAGGTACATAAATCGAGCACAGGTTGCTTTCATAATCTGGCCCTCGCAGTAGCGCGCATTCGTCTGGAGATGTCCGACAGCTACAGTACTCTGATGATGGCCGAGGCGCTTTGCGACGCGAGCATGTGGTCTACAAGCTCCCGATCGGAAACGAAAGAAGCACAATTGTTTTCGAAATCTGGCACTTGCCTCAGCGCCGAGCAGTGTCGCATCAAATAACAAACGAGCTGAGGGCGGATCCGTTCCGCGATCTGGCTACCATTTGAGGCGGCCTCATGTTTATGATCCTCAGCCTCGGAATTTCCAAACAGCTCCAGAGACTGAGGACGGGCCCTTGTCACAATCAAGACCTTGCCTGGCACGTTCTCCTTGACGCGACAGTCTGGAATCCAGCACGTACACAGGTCGAGGGCGGCTCTTTGATTCTCGCTCGAGGCTTCAGCGGACATTAACACCTTAAGGCTTGAAATCCGCCGACCCCTTGTGGGTCCCTAGGCGTGTGAGATAGTTCCCCCCCCTACAGTCCCCCCCCAGGGACCCCAAACTGGCGATTTGACCCCCCCCCCCCATGGCCCCGCCCGAGCGACTCACGGAGCTTCTTTGGGCTCAAAAGTCTCTCAAGGCGGCCCAAGAAGGCCCCAAGACTCCTCCAAGACGGCCCACGAGGGCCCCGAGACGCCAAACGAACGCTCCAAGGCGCCCAAGATGGCCCCAAGACGGGCCAAGAGGCCTCCAAGACGGCCCATGAGGCCTCCAAGAGCAGTTCTCAGAAGGGCCGAAGAGCCGAAAATCTTCAAATTCCTATGGAAAACGTACATTTTGATCATATACGGCTTCTCGGCCTTCAAACACGGTCCAAGAGCACCCCAAGACCGCCCCAAATCTTCAAATTCCTATGGAAAACGTACATTTTGATCATATACGGCTTCTCGGCCTTCACGGCGTTAAACACGGTCCAAGAGCACCCCAAGACCGCCCCAAGACGGCCCAAAGAGGCCCCCAACACGCGCCCAAGTCCGCCCAAGAGGGCGCCAAGACAGCCCAAGAGGCCCCCAGGACGGCCCAAGAGAGCCCCAAGACGGCCCCAAGAGGGGCCCAAGAGAGGGAGCCCGAACTGACATCCCGAGCCTTCCGCCCCGAGACGGCCCTAAAAGGCCCCGAGAGGCCCCAAGAGGCCCCCAAGACGCCCCCAAGAGGCCCCAAGAGGCCCCCCAAGAGGCCCCAGAACGGCCCCAAAACGGCCCCCAAGAGGCTTCGAAACTGCCTCCAAGAGTCCCGCGAGAAGCACCACCAGAGATCCCAGCGATCATCGCACAAGCGGGATTCGCGCTCCCGAGGCGAAGAATTCCAAAACCATGACCCAGAACATTTCCTCCGCGTCCCCCTCCTCCTCCCCCTCACCCGCCTTGTCCACGTCGGCCCCCCAGTGGCGTCAAAACTGCTTTCCAGAGGCCCCCGAAAGGAGTGCCGCGAAATTCCGATACACATACAAGAACCTCTCACCCAAAGACCATAACCCAGAGCCTCCTCTCAGTGTCCCCCTCATCCTCCTCCTCAACCACCCTCTCCTCGTCCCCCTCCTCCTCGTCCCCCTCCTCTTGTTCATGGCCCGTCACCTCGACACGTTCGATGATTCTCCCCTGTGTCCTCCGCCTCACCCCCCATTCTCCTGTCCTCGTTCTCCTTTTTCCTCAGCGCGCGCGCCCGATTCGGCATCATTTGCAGGTTTTGCACTTCAGAGTGCCTTTTTTTGCGTCGCGCGGGACATTGTGAGGGTCGGGGAACGCCGACTTCGGTAGTCTTCTCTTGCACGCGCCGCTGCACTGATACGCCTGGCAACTGCGGGTTGTGAACCCGAGTGCCGCGCAGCTTCCGCACACCACCTTTTTTTGATTCGACCATCGATGATGTTCTTTTTGGCTCTGCCTCAAATGTTTCGTGTCTGAGAACGCTCCTCCGCACGCCGCGCACGTCAGCGGCTTCGCTTCCGCCTCGGCTCTCCGTTTCCTATTATTGGACTCAAGCGTCGTCCTCTGACGTTCTTCCGCGCATTTCCGACAAGACGGCACCAAGAGGGGCCCAAGAGGGCAACCAAAAACTCAAAAATCTAGCTTCCCGCCCCCACGAGCCCCAGGGGGCCCCAAGAGTGCCCCAAGAGGCCGCCAGAGGCCCCCAAGAGGCCGCCAAGACGCCCCAAGGAGCCCCCAAGAGGCCCCCAGGAGGCCTCCAAAAGACCACCAGACGCTTCCGCATTGCGAGCCGTCAAGCCAACTGCAATGCACTCCGCGCATGCAGCCTTGCTCTTCCTCGCGACGTGCTCACAATCTTGCTCGGCGCTGTGCTACGCGACGTGCTGCTGCTACGCGAACTGTTTCGTGCGCGCTGCGAACGTCAACAGCCTCTTCACCCGTTTCGACTCATCTGCCACATCTTTCGCGGTGATGCTTCGCTGATCACAGCTTCCGCACGCTACTCTTGCTCCTTTCGTCTTCCGGTGCTCCTCCACTTGGTTGAGGGGCGAGAGGCCGACCTCCCAGAAGGACACCCCGCACCCGGGTGCACAGCACGCAAAGCGCTCGCAAAACACGCCCCAGACCACCGGCATCACGCAAACATGTGGACCCCCTACGTATCTGCCACCACCCGCGCGCGACACCGCACCCTCACACAAGACGCCGCTGGCCAGAAACTCCTGGCCTCGCAACAGTCACAGAAGGGGTCGGCGGATGTGGCGTAAGCCTGTAGAATCTCCAACAACTACAGTCAACCCGCTTAGCAAGAATGAGCAATGTTCCAATGTTGCCCTTGCATCTTCCCCTTCGGCCCATCCTTGGCCGCTTGCGCTGGCCGCGCCCCGCTCGCACAAGGTCGGCATGGCCTTCCAAGGCTCTTGCATCCTTTTCGTGCGTCCTTCTCACACGGGTTGACTGTACAGTGGAGACTAGTCCACAAGAAACCATCCACAAGAAAGCCAACCCTGAGACCCCAAGACGCCCATGGATGTTTGGTGTAGGAACGTCACGCCTTCCAGGGACAAAACATCGAAACCCCAGAAGCATAGGGCACCCTGGAGGCAAGCAGGGTGTTCCTTGGCATGGGTTCCCACTGTATGCCATTCGCAAGCTAGGCGTGTCTTGCCGATGGCAGCAGTGCCATCTGGAGCAAGCGCGGTCGGTCGGGGAGGGGGGGGAGGCGCTGTGACAGGGCCGTGCGGAGGTCTGGGGAGGCGGGAGGAGCGGAGAAGGATGAGAGAGGGAGGACGAGGGGGGAAAGAGGGACAGGGAGAGAGAGGGGGGGGCATAGAGGAGCTGGAAGAGAGAATGAGGAAGGAGGAGGAGCAGGAGGAAGGAGGTGGGAGAGGAGAAGTATAATGAGAGGAGGAGGGGGAGGGGGAGGGGGAGGGGGAGGGGGAGGAGAGGGAGGAGGAGGAGGAGGAGGAGGAGGAGGAGGAGGAAGCCAAGCTGAGCGAGATTAAAGGACAGGCGTGCTGCGAGGAGGTGGCCGGCGGCATCGGGCCTTTGGCCGCTTGTAGACTCCGCGCTTCTTGTGGCAGAGGGCCACAACGCATGAATGAGCAGGCGGCGCGCCCGGGGGGAAGTGAGAAGGGGCGGGCCTTCTCAGATGGCTCGAAAGTTCCCTGGCCTTCTGACAAAGTGTCTAAGCCTTCTCCGATGACCCAAGAAAAATCTCAGCAGGCCAGGGGGGGCTTCTGAGCAAACCCGCCGCTTTCTGAGAAGGTCTCCTCCTTCCCGCTTCCTCTCCTCGCTCACCGCCGAGTGCTCAAGCCACTGGGTCTACAGCAGCGACGAAACTGGTGGCGACCGAGACTGGGACTCAAACCTGTGCCTGGCCCTGCACGCACACAAACACACACACACACACAACGGCTAGACCTAAACCATTTCGCTCGAGCCCTACGATGCACCATGCCGCCCATAAGCGCTCGCCTTCGCGAGTGCCCCCGCCGGCGTGCACGAAAAAGGCGCGCAGCCTTCTTTTCACCTGCAGTTGGGTGTTGCTCGAAGTGGCCTTGGCCCAACAGGTCCCCAGATGTACGCGCCATCTTGGAGCCCCTGAGGCTATCTGAGCCTCGCGAGGGGTGCTCTGGACGCAGGGGGCGCCCGATTGGCTGGGGACACCTTCCCAGGCATCGGACGTCTTGTTTTGTTCATTACGGAGCCCCCGAAGTTCCGACCCTTTTCCCAAGGACGGGGCTAGCTTTTCAGCCCGACTCTTATGTTGCGGTCCCAGGGCCCGGCGAGGGACCGAGGGGCCGAGCACGACCAAAGTCTCCCCACCCTGTCACGACGCGAGCATGTCTGGGCTGGACCCGTGGACGCCTTAGGACACCTTGGGCCAG